CTCGGCTTTGTTTTTGTTTAGGGCACGTTCAGTTTCCAGCAGTTCGTCCTGCATGCAGCGAGCAAAGCATGAGCTCAGACCAGAACCTGGCAAACATTTCTTTATGCACATTTCACCGCACCCAAATGAAATAAAATATTTTCCATATATATATATTTTTTTAAACTGTAAGATTTGCCTAATGTAGAAAATTTGTCTAAAAATGGAAGACTGTTTGTGGGAGCAAACTATTTTCCTCAGCTGCTAGATATTTATGCAAATGCGTGTGAACATCCATGGTGGTGACTTCTAAAAGTGCAGCACTGGAGCTAGCTTGAGGAACAGCAGAGGCTGCTGCCTTCAGCTCTTCCCCAGCAATGGTTAGCACTAACTGCTTCTAATTACACTTGGTCTTTACAGCTATAGTACTGGCTAGTAGTATAAGGAAAATAGTAGAGCTCTCATTTAAGGATTGTTTTAATCGATGGAGAGATTTGATCTATGCTATTTGGCTTCATGGCTCCTAGTTCCCCTGAAGTTAATGGATGTTAGCCATTAGCCTGAATGGTACCAAACTCCTGCACCTTGTGCTGGGAGATGGAGATTAATATACATCTTTAAAGCCATAGCAAACCAAAAATGAGTAAATACAAAACTTGGAAGGCATTTATTCCCTTAAAATATGGAGTAAAAAATTGCAGTTAAAGCCTGGTGAAACCATTATTATGGCAGTAAAAAACCCAGCCTAATTTAAAATCCCAATTTCAAGAAATAAACAATGAAGTAATTTAATAAAAGTAACTGCTGAAAAGGACCCTGTATTGATAAATTTTTATCATTACATGTGCCATTGAATTTTAATTAGAATTTAGCTATCTTACATAGTAATTAACCCAAATGAGAATTCTACACAAACTGCTCTAGAAAAGGAGTGTTCATATATGCTAATGAGTGCTATGCGTGATTAAACATTGAGAAAATAAACTCCAAATGTATGCTAATAAATGGCAAAATTTACTGTGTAGGATTAATATCTAACAGAGGAACAGAAAGATGTTTCAAAGCAGGTGTGTATTGTATAAATCACACATTAGGTTTCAAAACGCAGGGCCCTATCCTGCAAATGGCTGCACTGCAGTCGTGTCCTTCATGTGAGCAGTTCCACTGAAATAATGGGACTACCTATAAGAATGTGGAAAGCTGATCTGCTAAGAAATTGCTTGACCTTGGAAAATAAGATTTTGTCCTTGTTCCCCACTCCAAATATATAATATATATATATATATATATATATATAGTACTTGGATATTACATATAGTTCAACCCCAAAGATCTGAGGCCTTATTCCTTTGGTATGTTTCAATGGATTCTAAGAAATATAAAGACAAAAGTAATTTATTCACGTCCTGGCTTATGACTATTGGTGGCACTGTCAGATCTTGATTAATTAAACAGTGATTATTTAGCCATGTCTGTCTAGAGCTGCTATCAGACCTCACCCCCCCTACCCCATCCTTTTTTTTTTTTTCTTTTCTTTGTTTGCTGCAGGCTTTCAGTAGGGATTGGAAAATCTGATGAGAAAGATAATAGTTGTCCCCACAAACGTCTGCTCAGTTCTTGTTCAGGGAAAACCAAGGTCTAGCCTGTTCCAGGGCCAAAAATAAAAGTTGCCGTGCAGCTCTGTCATATATTTCCTTGAAGAAACAGCTTGGTGAGGTGAAGTGAGGATGGAATGACTGTTTTCTGATGTATGTTGGACAAGAAAACTTAATCTGTGCATGGTACTTGTTTTGGCTATGCTTCAGAAGGCGTCTCGTGTGATGTCACCTGTAAATAGCTGAGAACTTTGACATCAGCTCTGTGTGAGGCTGTTTAAATAAGAGCCTCATTTATAGAATCCTGCTGCCTGTAAAATGGCTCTAATGGTGTTATCCCCATGCCTGAGGGGAAAGCTAAATAATGAAACCCCAAAGAGTCTGTAACTGGGAAGAAGGAGCACAGGAGGAAGGAGGAGAGAAGGGAAAGCTAATCTCCAGCAGTATAACCTTATCTCGTGTTCTGGTTTTATAGGAGTCAGTAGTTAGAAAAACAGCACAAAGCCACAGTTAGTGATACGAGGCATATGGGATCGTTAAAGAAATACTCTGCTGCTTGAAAGCAAGCACGTGATTCTTTGCTGCTGAACATCTTCAGCATTCTGAAAGTAATTGAAATGTTTGATTGTGCTTCGTTAGTTGTTTGTGATCAGATTTTTATGAACTCCAAAGATCCACAGGGCATCTGTTATGTGACGCTGAGGCCCTGTGTAAGGCTTGCACCCCTGGTGTATGTGTCTATTTCTGTAATGTGTGTGTACAGACATGTAATTGTGGTCATTTGATACGATTTGGAGAATTTTGTACTCTATTTCAGATTCCCACTTAAAATCTAGAGAGCATAAAATCCATGAATATGTTTGCTCTGGGATACCCCACTGTGCGATGTGAGTTTGGCCTCTCTGAACAGAACACATATGAGATGACCCAGCAATGACTTCAAATGTTCCTTATTAAATCTTTTTAGTGTAATGGAGTCTTTTTGATTTCAGCCAGAGCTGCAGTTTGTATTTAACCATAAATTCCTCATGCTTTGAGCACATCACAAGGCCAAGCAGCGCAGTCAGCGGTGTTGCAGGCAGACCCACCAGTGTCTCCATCACACTGGCTGCTGGTGTTCCTCCTTGGGTTCAGGTGCTGTGTAATGCTCAGCGATACCCACAGGTTAGTGATAGCACTGAAGCAAGGAGAAGGGCTTTCCCAAAGTACTCCGTGAGCAAGCACATACTGGAAGAGTTAGTGCATCCCATTGTTATTTGGGCACTCTGCTGTTAACCACCAGACAGCACCCTCCTCCCCTCCCAGAGACGATCTCTGTGGTTATGGAGGGGAGGAAGAGCCGTTCATGGCAATAAAGAGGTAGCCTGATGTCAGAAATATTTAACCCCATTCAGTTTCCCCACCAGCCAGCGGTGCTGGTTCAGCAGCGTGTGCTGTCCTGTTGTGGCAGAGCGCTTTTGGGGACTGATCTGTAAAAAAAAAAAACCTGCAGAAAGTGCAGCTACTAACTGCAGCGGATCTGTGCATCCTGTGGTCTTTTGGGGTGGATGAAGGAAGTCCTTAATGAAGTCCTAGTCTTAGCTCACTTAATTTAAGAACATGCTGAAAAAAAAAATTATGAGCCTTCCTTATTTTATTGTACAAAGCTTTTAGTTAGATTAGGCTTATCCTTAGGGAGAGGATTTTGATTTTCCAGTCTGGGCAGCTTACTAGTCTTTATATAAAATTTACTATTTTAAATGGACATGTTCAAAATAATGCTTTGCAGACATGATTAAATGTTTGAAATATATTTTTTATAAATTAAATACAGTTCCATGGAAATTCTGCTCACATTTCTATTGTTCTTCGTACAATTTCTGACTGTCTGACTTCATCGCTGGTTTCTGACAAAGTCCTAAAATAATGCCTAGCATCAGATTCCTGAATGTGTCAAGCAACAGTTGTTGAAGATGAACTCTTTTGTTATTGTGGAACAGATCCTGTTTTCACTAACCTAGAACTAGATCTCTTCAGTTTTAATTTATTGATATGCTAGAAACGTATTTATTTGTCTCGATTTTCTCCATCACAAAGACAAAAGGTTTACCAGTGCAAAAACCTAGTAGCCTATTATCTTAAGTTTCATGCTCTGTAAGCAATGTAATCCAAGTGTGTACTTGCCAAACAGTTTCCAACTGACAGTTTACAAGCATCAGATCAAATAATGGTGATGTTATAGTGCATGTTTGCTGCAAATGTAAATATATCAAGTATCTTTATTTGTGTTGTCTGAAGTGAAAGTAACCCAACACCATCTTCTCTGGATATTTGCGTCTGAGCATTTTGGGTAAAGCTATAATAATATTTATTTTTGTTTTATGTGATGAACAACAGTCTTAAAACTAATTCTGGTGAATTAGGAGTTGTATTTCTGGGGAGCTAAGTACCACTATTTGACTGCTGTTGTAAAACTTTATTAGGCAATACATCTGACCTCAAATTGGAAATTTGTGTTGGAACCAGTTTAGGAAATCATTATAGCTCTGTTGTTAATTTTATATTTGTCTAATAAAACACAGCAGGCACTACATGACATGCGCTAAGGCAGCTGATGCTAGCTGCTAGACATGTTTTTAACTACTGTTTTCTACCTTGTACAGGCACAGGGTAGGAGGGAACTGAATGTAACTTAGTAATAGAGATTTTTTTTTTTTTTTTTGCTAGCATATCATTGCTCTATAGTTTGTAGCTACTTCTAAGAGGGAGATCAATGTTAATATTACCAAATATATATTTGTATCTACATATATATTTGTAAAGAAAAATATGCATCACCGTGCTGTTAAAGGTGCAGATTGTGTGAGTATATTCCAGACTGTATTAGGAGCATCATTAAGTTCCTACTGATGCTACCTTACCAGCTGACCGTTTCATCTTATTTTCAGGAATGAGCACATTAGAAATGAGATGAAGGAAGGTTGGTTAATGTGAATGCAGTTACAGAAGTAGAAATGACAGCATCCAAAGTGAGAGGAAAACTTGAAGGCTGAATATAATCAAATAAAGTGTGCCAGAGGAGCCCCGTGCCAAAACACAGAATGAATTAGTGCATCGTATCGCAGGGCTGGGTGCACAGCCTTCTTACTAGCTCTATCATGTGGGGACAGGACTAGTATAATTACAGAATAAGAAATACTGTGTCAGCATCTAAGAATATTGGAGAGGAGTAGATGGAACTTGAGAAACTGCAGGTTTTTGAGTCAGGTCTCAGTAGTAAGCAAGTTAAACTGAAAAAAGTGCAATTGAAGGTTTTGAAATCAAAGCAAACTAGGCTAGCATCAGTGGTAGATAATGCTAACTTAACTGGTTTGGGTTTGTTTTTGTTTGTTGTTTTTTTTTTTTGCATAAGGTAGCTGATTTTTCTAATTTATTTTTGTGTACCAGGGAAATGCAGTAGACCTGATCTGCTTGATCTGCTTGGAATTCAGTAAAACATGATGTGTTGCCCCTTGAGAAGTGCGGAGTTCAGCTGCTGAGGATGAGGACTGGTGTGGGATCTGTAAGGTGAGCACAGAACTGGCTTAGGATGAGCTTTCAGGAAACGTCTGAGGGAACTGTATCACAAGAGAAGCATTTAGACATAGGGATGCCCTACTCCTATATGGATTGCTCTCCCAGCACAGGGCACCATGCAGGTGCTGCTGGCTCTGTGCTGCACGCATGTGGAGCTCTGCCCATCCTGGCATGCAGCGGCTGTTTCTGAGGCTCCCTTCTCCACAGCACTTGCTCTTGGCTCCACCTCAGACCCTACTTTGCTTGAAGCTCAGACACGGCTGTCTTTAGAAAGCAGTCCTTTCTGCAGAGCTTCGTAACCTCTTCCCAGTTTACCTTTGCATTTTCTCTTGAATTGTTAGTACTGGCTAGGTTTGCCCTTCAGCATGGAGCCCAGTCCCATTCAGTTTAGGCAGTGAACTATGATTCTTCTGTTTTATATATGCTAAATAAAAAAAAAAAATGGTGCTATGCATTTAGTGACCCCTGGTTATGTGTGGCTCATCCTGAGCTCTATCTCTCTCACTTCTGCCTGGATTGTTGTCGCTCTCATTGCAATGGCCTTCTGGCAGCGTGTAGCTTTGTGTTGGTTGGCTGCCATATTGATCAGGGCAAAGAAAATTTACATTCACATATTCATGCTTTGCTGCCTGCTTTCTTTGCGTTGCCACTTTTTGCATGCTCAGCACTTCTAAATACCAAGGCCATCCTCATTCACTCGCTCACTCATTCAGTCAGTCAGTGCTACAGAACTAGAAGTGAAACCTGAAGCATACCAAGTGCTAGCTGTGCTGGGTACAGCCCTGCTGGAACTTCGGTCCGCCTGAAACCACCGATTTTTGCCCAGATGAATGAGTGCAGAAGCATGGCTGTATAAGAAATGTGGACTCTGTTCTCACATCAGCTTTTCTGGGGTCAGTAGGCAGTATTAACAGGGCTTGTTTAATTTATGTTACTTATTAGGAGGTTTTCTTTTCCTTGTTGCTGTTTAGAAAATGGCAACATGAACACTGAATTAAAATTAAAAGTGTTAGAAAGAATGCCCCATAAAAGTTTCAGCTATTTTTAAGATTTTAACTCATTTGTTTTTCATTAGTTCGTGTTTAATTCTATTTATAAAAAGCTTGGTCTTTACACAACGTTAAAAAAAAAAAAGAGGAAGAAGGAGAAGTGTACGTTGACATACTAAGTGAAAAACCTCAAGAAAAATTACAGTAAATTAAAATTTATTTCCCAAGGGGTAGAACATATTTCAGTGGGATGAAGGAAGAAACTAATAGACTTTCTATGAACAGCCTTTTTTATTTAAAGAATAAGCTTTCAGGCAAATATAATTCTGCAGCCTCCTGAGGAAAGCCTTTTTCTTCTTGTTAGGATAATACCAATTAAAAAGTGAACAATTAAAAGCACTGGAAGTTTGTCAGTGTACGTTCTCTGTGGATCTGTGCTTTCTCTCGTGCTGTTGCTTGCTGAACACGCCTTGTAGTGCCGGTATGGCACGCAGTGCATCTGTGCTTCCTGTCTGCAGCTAGTAATTAGTTAATGCTGCCAGACACGAACGAATTGTGTCTGCTCATCTCAAGTACTTGCTAACAAATCAACCCTTTGGGGAGAATTTTACCATTTGGGAACGATGCAATTTGACATTTTGGTTTCTCTCCACCTCACCTGTTGCTTTCTCCCCAAGTACCTGTTGTGGAAGGGTGGAAGGGCTTTTTGTTCACATTTGCTCCGGGTAACATCAGTGGTGTCATGCATGCTTGCACTGTTAGAGGAGCACAGCCTGGACAGTGAGCAGGCAAGTTGAGAGAAGAAAGCAAATGCCTTAAAACAGCTTTGCTGCAGAAGGTGATGTAGAATTAAATAGTACCCTACGGAAAGGCAGGGTTTGCAGGGGGAATCAATGACAGACGGGGCAGAAATTGTCCTTTTTCAGCCATCGTAATTTTCCCAAAGTCATCTACTAACTCACGCTTTTGCATTGGTGCTGTCTGTCCTTAGCTGTGTTCAGCATGGACAGGCTGACACCTTGTCCCCTTTAGCCTCTTCTCCGCTCCACAGGTTGTAGTTACTTTTGTCCCCTCTTTTTTTTTTTATTATTATTATTATTTTATTTTTTTTTAAGTTGATAACAACAGCATGGACATTAGACAAGCAGTCCTTAATGTACTCTAAGCTCCATATCTGTTGCTTTTCTTGGACCTAATAATGGGTTCTCTGCTTGAAATGGTTCTCTTTTTACACAGTGTAGTTTGCGTTCATAAAGGATGTAATGTCTTCCTTTAAATTTGGTCTCTTATTACCATTCTTATCCAACATCAGCTTCCTGATAATGACAAAATGTTAAAAAGCCATCCTGCTTTTGAAAAGAGTTTTGAAACCATGAAGTCTAAAGAAGAAAATCTGCATTTTATTTAAAAAATAAAAAATATATCTTGCTAATGTCATGCAGGATCAACAGACACTTCAATTTCTTTACTTTCTAGTGGAAGAAGCGAAGAAGCTGTGATGTTCTGGAGATGACTTCTAGCTGTTAATGGCGTGCAACAGCTCACACAAGTTCATATTCTCTGTTATGTGAAACTAGATCCCTATTGAAATACTCATGAAAACAGTGACCTCGTGGCCTGCTTCACAGCTCTGTTATTGATCCTCCTCATTATATATTTCTTTAAATGTACCTAGGTATATTTTTTTTCTAGCTTGAAGAACTGTGACTATGTATACCATGAGGGAGTTTTGTTTGGGGTGCAGACAATTATAGGGAATTTACCTCGGTGTTTAATTTTTATGCTTTAATTCCTCAGTTTTAAAGGCAAGGCTACTTGATCTGATTTATGATGGCAGTGCGGAGTTGTGAGGGAAAAAAGAGAAATTTTTGTTCATTCAAACCACATGGTTCTCAAGGCCTTGAAAATTTTAGTTGCATTAAACATGGAAGGTACCATCATTTTTCACAGATCTCCTTGAAAATCCATTTCTTGCACACACAAAAAAAATCACAATTTCACAATGTTACATGTTTAGAAAGTTGAATGAAAATACTCCGTGGCTAATCTTGACAGTTTTAACTTGGAGAAAAGCCAAGGCCCCAGAACAATGCACAGCCAGTGCATTTGTAACACGATACAGAAATCAATACACATGACCAGATTTTCCAGTCCACCACGCTTATTTTGCAAACCCGTCAGAGGTCTGGCTGGGAGCATTCCCCATGTCAAGGAGACTTGCTGATGGCCGAAAGCTGGTGAGGATGGTAGAGCTGCCTCCACTGCCAGCTGGCCTAGCCCTCACGGCAGGATGAGGGAGAGCACCCAAAGCGTGCCGGGGCTACCGATGGCTGGAAGGGTGCATGGGGCTCCATCGCCCCAGATCCCATCCCTGTCTGTGCTGTCCTACTTAGGTGATGCTATAGCAGAAATTACATCATGTGTCTGGTAGCTTTAACTTCTGAGGAAATAGCTAATGCTACATACACTTTCTTCTTACCAAGAGGAGCAGAAACATCTTTAAGTCGTGACCGTGTTTGCATGACTGCACAAGTGTTGTGTTTGCTGTACTCACACCAGTTAAGGGCTTGTGCTCAGTGAGTCTGATGTGGCCTCTTACAAACCCTTCAGACGGCAGTTTTGGATAGTCTGAAGTTTCCCTGTACAGCAACCCTCCCTGCCAACAGCTACCTAAAGTTCTGGGGAAGGGTTCTTCTCTTGAAGCTGCAGCTTTGTGTGAAAGAGGCAGTATTTTTATAGGAGGACAAAGAGTTTGGGAAAAAATGCTCTTGCAAAACCTAGCTCTTTTTGTTGTTGTTGTTTGTTTGTTTGCTTGTCTAGACAGCCAGGGTACTTTGCTTTGGACTGTGTGGTGTTGAAGGATTTTAATCCCCAAGCTATTTTTGATTCCTGGACACATTTATGACATATGCAGTCTTAGCTTTTTTTTTTTTTTTTTTCCTCCTTCAAGATGCATGCATCCATAGACTTGAATGGGTGTAGGAAAGATAAATGGCTAAGGGAAAAGGAAATTAGTCTGAATGTTCTTAGAGCAGGAGCAAGGAGACTCTATAAAGGCAGACTGTGTGACAGAGATAAAAACTAAATGAAAATTAAGGCTCAAGAAGAGGCCTGACTGATAGTGGAGAAAGGAAGTCCAAATATGTTGAGATAATACCCAAAAGATGAAATGTAAAAAATGCTCCATTAAATCCCATTTCCCTCTTACTTTGATATTTTAATTTCCCATTTCACTTCCTTTTATAATTTCCTTCCATCCTTCCAATGATACTCACTCTCTAGTGAAAACGTACTGTTGCAAATCATTCTCCCAAAGACCGATCCTTTAGCTCAGTAGTGTTCAGGATCTACAAATTTAGATTTCGATACCTATCAGAATACAGAGCTGGCAGGAGGGTTAGCTTTGCTTTATAACTTTCTGGCTGGAAGTTCAGAAGTGGAAAGGCAAAAACAGTGAAAGGTACGTGTTCTTCCGAAAACTGAGATACACAAAATTAACACTTGCCTTGCATTGTGATGTGGAGCTCAAGTATCCCCATGAGCAGCTTTAGTTGTTTAATTATTTTCACTTTGTTGCTAGTTTCTTGTATATAATAATTTGTTCCCTTAGATTTATGTTATTGCAGGCTACTGTCCAGCAAAGCACTTAAGCACTCGATTAACTTTAAGCACATAAGTAGTCCCGTTGCTGGACTGGGGCCATAATAAAGGAAGAGAATGTTGCAAGAGAGATTGCTTTTTCTTCTTCTTTTTCTTGTTGTTGTTTTAGGTGTCAACAGCACAGTTTATTTAGTTGCCTTTTAGGCAGTAATCTTATTAGTAAAATTGGCAGGATTAAGAGGATATTAAACAAAATCTGTGTGTTTTCACATCAGTTAAGATCTGTACTGTATTCCCTTGGAATACAACAATTCTGTTGTGCAATAACTGGATTTTAATGTTACCAAGTCACTTAAGATTGCATTAAAACACATTTATTAAATTACTTGGCTGCCTTGGAATTGTGGGCTGGAAGTAGGAGCTAGCTCCACTTCAAAACGCAGAGAGGTCTTTCGGACTGGGAAAGAACGTTTTGTAGGATCTTTTTGTAGTTTTTCTTCATCAATCAAAGCACATTTGTTTACCAAGGAACATGGAGTGAGTGTTAATTTTATGGATGTTCCTCCGTGTCCAAAACGAAGCCATCTGTCCCCGAAGGCAGCCAGGGTAAGCAGTCTGTCCGTCGTGTTGGCGTGCCCTGGCTGGTGGGGACAATGGGTGTCGCAAAGTTTGGTTGCTTTGTTTTGTCCCTGTAGGCAGGAAACCTGCCACATCAGTTCCGTCCCTCTACAGTTCTGCATCTCATCATTTTCGGTTACACGTTTTTACCATCGAGAATCTAGTAATCAATAAAACATATTTTGTTTTTACGTGGAAACCTCAGTGAAATGAAACCTCTTAATGAAAAATACTTTGTGAAAACCAAAGCTGGCAGCAAAACAGGACAGCCACCACATATGAGGAGGGAAAAAAAAAAGTCTGCTCTGTCCCCTTAAAAACAAACAAAAAGAAACGTCCCTAAGAAGGAAGCAGCATCTCTGATTTTGTCATCTACTTATTTGACAGACAGTTTCCTGGTACTATTAGAGTAAATAACCCGTTTGCCCAGAATTCACTCATGAATTCTCCAGTTTCTGAATATTAACATTTCTGGCAGTGATTTTCTTTTCTAAATTGCTGAGATTAAAATACAAAGCTTTAGTAGGTGGGTGCTGTTTGTACTGTAGCTGGATTTCCTTTGACAGTCGATGTGTTTGTAATTGCAGCTGAATGGCTTCGGTACTTGGACCTGCTCCTTTGATATAAGCAGGTGACTGTTAACATTTCTTGATGGTCTGGGGGGATGGCTTGGTAGAAAATGTCGAATTCTTGCAAAGTAATTTCTCACGTCTTCTGATGTTTTTTTATTGAGCGCTTTGATCTTTGTTCTGCAGATGTGGAAATAACATCATCTACAACCTGTAGGCGTTCTCTGCACTTTCTCAACTAATTGTTCCGTGCATCTGACAACAAGATGCAAATTTACCCACATCTGTCTACAAAGAGGCTTTCCTCCTGCCTGGCCTTTTTTGTAGAGAGTCAAACAACGTTATTTTTACCCACTTCTAAAAATTGATTCTGAGCGTATCTTTTGACATGCCTGCTTGCCTTCCCCACTCCCAGATGTCACCAGCTCCCTGCCTGCGTTACAACATCCATCTTGGCTGGCACGTGGGACCGAGCTGGGAAGGACGAGAACAGCTTGAGACAGAAAACAGTGTTCTGTAGCTCAATGTCCCCGTCTGTGCTGAGGACCGGGAGTGTCACGTACTGATTATCCACTTCTTCTTACACAGTGATTTACATGCTGATGGGTGCAGCCTTGTAATTACCCAGGCACGTTCGCCCTATGTCCCAAACCAGACAGCCCAGGCAGGCATTAGCAGGGGAACAGCTGCAGTGGCCTGGAAGCGGGGGAAATACGGAGGTGTTCAACCCGAGGTGAGCTCTGTGCTGCGATAACTCTTATCAGAACTAGCTAATTTTAAAAAGTGCCAACATCCCCGCATTAGGCAATGCAATCAGTGAGTGTTGAAATACCCCAAACAAGGGATGCCAGTTGCTTCTCCTTACATGTGGACTTAAGAGGAGAGCAGGTTCTCAGCCTTCTCTTCTCACATGTCATTCTACCTTTGTATAAGCTGCTTCTCATGCCCCAGCACATTTATATAGCTCTCTTATTTGTGAGAATGTTTTTGAATCCTCTGGAGAACCAGAACATCTCATGGCTTTTGCATCCAAATGTAATTTAATTGCATTTCTCTGTTTTTTGAAGATGTTGGATCCTTTTCAGCAATCCTCTCACATAACACAGCTGAATTTCCACTTGCATTTTATTTGAAAAATGCTTGAATAAGGAGTACCGTGAAGAGTCAGTTGTCATCCTTCTATGTCATTAGTAGTTATTAACTTGATTTCCAAAAGTGCTGAGCACCTAAAGCTCTTACAAGAGATTAGCACAGGAACTGCTGATACCAAGTTCCTCCTTTGGAGAGTACAAGGTACCTCAAAGTCATCGGTGGGGCTGGGTGGAAGGAGAGCCATTTCCACACTGTGCTACCTTCCCAGACTCCTCAGTGGCATGAGAAAGAGAGAGACGAGGACTAACAACAGACCAGGTGTGATTTCTTGTATATTTTGGGAAATCTTCACAGGGGCTGTCACTCAGCGTGACTCTGATCCTGACGATGGTACTGCTTGCTTCTGTGCACACAGTTTGGAGCAGGGTGATTCCTCATCTGGCATTCATGTAGACAATAGCACAACACGGTGCTGGGGAGTTTGGTTGTGTCTGTTCCTTTAACAACAGGACATATGAACTCCTGATGTGACACTGAAGGGAAATATCCCAGAATATAGGAAATTTTCAAAGTTGCATACACTTCACACATGTGTAGCATTTGCTGTTGGTACAATCTTTGTTAAATATAAATCCTAAAACTGCTGAGTTTGGATGTTTACTACTGGTCATTGCTGCCCATAGCCTGCCTCCTGCAAAAGATTGACAGTCCTTTCCTGATGACTTGATGGTATGGCCAGACTGGTGATACTGGTGGAAACCTGGCCCTGGTGAAATAAATGGCCCAAATCACTCTGGCTTTGTTTAGAACACAAAATTGCCCTTGAATTCAGCAGCGGTAGATGTTAAAGTGGGAAAAATAACTTATTTTGCTTTATTCAACTTCCAACTCTGTGCTCAATTTCCCGGTGTTTTTGTTCCTTGCTGTCGTTATATATTTCGCTGGTAATAAATTGGAACCATAAATATCTGCACCTCAAATTAAGTTCATTTCCAAATGATTTTAATATAACTTTCATTAGAAATGAAAATTCCAGCAGCTTTTTATGATGTAAAATATGTTCACAAAAATAAGCATAAACATATGTACTCATATGTATGTCTGTGCATATATATGCATGAAAGTATATAATGGATCTAGATATTAGTTTTGCTTCTTAGAAATGAATGTCACAATATATTCAAGATGCAGTAATGTATTACTTTTCTTATTGCTTTAAAAGGCCTCGAATTCTTGTAGAATATGGTTTAGTGGGTCAAACATCCCCTTTCCTCTCATTTATCAGCCTTTTGATCTCGTGTCAGTTCTAAATGTTGGCATGCTTAGGCCAGAACAGTGCGCTGCAAGATCACAAAAAGGCATAGTTATATCTTTAAAAACTTATGGGCATCCTGGTGCTACATCCCAGCATAGCTTAGCAGATGTGGTATTGAGTTCCCCCAAGTCTTCACTGCCCCTTTGTCTATTATTTTTTTTATAGTTTTGTTCTGCATTCCTTCCACTCAACCTCAAGTAGATGGAAGCCTGTTAGTTTATTACTTACATATGTCTGCACCCTTTTACCTCAGCAGGGAAAGACAAAATATTGAGGAGGACTGTAGGTTTGGGATGGTCAGCTAATCCTTCCCCACCTTGAACTAATCGCCAGGCTGATGTGTTATTGTGCTGAGCTCTGTTCTTCAGCGCATTGCCAGTGGGGTTTCAATTTGTAGAAGCATAAACAGATACTAAAGTAAAAAGAATGGTGCAGTGATTTGTTAGCAGAGTTCAGATCAAATTATCACAGTGCTCCCCTGCTGACAGTCCTAACAATTACCTCCTTTTTCTTGGTCTTTCAAATGTTTTCTGTTTCACTTACATCTCGGTAAATAGTGTGCTTCTCACTGCGTTTTATTTATTTGCCTACGAAAGGGGAAGAAATTGAACCCTCGACTTTCATTCAAATGTCTGAATTTCTATACATTTTGTGTGAACTTAGATGCGTTTAGAAGTTTTTGTTTTGTTTTGTTTTTTAAATCGGCAGGGTGACTAAAAGTGGTTTCAGCTTTCCAGTTAGTACCTGCTTTTATAAAATTTTCTAGCCCTTTTACAGCTTTATGATAGCACAGATCTTGTTGAAATTGGAAATCTTTTAAGAATACCAGCTACTAAAAGAGGAAATGGGTAGAAATTTGTATATATTAAGCAAATATTAAGATTTTAAAGCATTTGAGTCCCATGTTGAAGGCAAATTGGGTGTGTCAGTAGATAATATTCCCTTTTTGTGGAATATAGGCAGTTGATGTTCTATACAAGTTGTCTAGAATTAACTTCAACATTTGTTTCCACTCTTTTTCTTCCTTTCCCTGTTTTCAACTCTTGACTTTCACTCTTGCAGTTACATTTGTCTGCTTCTTACAATTCTAGTGGGACTGATTTATCATCATTTGCTAACATATCTGTCTCAAAATCTGAGCTTTGATCAGCTTGTATTTTATAACTTACATCTGTTCTATGTTTAACCTTTTGTAATGCTGTTTCTCAAAAATATTATCTAGTATAACAAAAGAATCATGTTAGTCTATGTGTTCTGTTAAACCTAAAGGAAAAAAAAAATTCAACATACCTGTCTACTTTGTTGTATTTTTGTTAATATATCAGTGATTTTTTTTCATTAAATCTATAAATCTGTCACTCTGCCTTTTTTCTGTGATTGCTGCTGAACTACAAATTCCATAATCCTTTTTCTTCTCTACCTTTTTTTCCTGTGATTACATCTTTTTGTGCTTCGCAGCATCACCACCAGCAGTGTCACTGCTCTGGCCCATTTGCTGCTGCAGGGTCCAGCTTGGGCTTCCAAAAAGGTAA